CTCCTTCTTCAGATGTTAATGAGAGAGGTAGTATCAGACACAGAATTTATAAGTAAAAGATCAAAGGGTCACACCACTGATGAGGGTGTATTAAATAAACCTAAGATGCTGTTAAATGTTTAAGCAGTTTAGAAGGTTTTAACTGATTAATATGTATATGTAAATCCACAAATTTCTTTGAAGTCACTACCTGAGAGAACTAAAGATTTTTTCGGTGTAAAGGAGAGGTGACATGTTAGGTGTGAGGCCTTGTTTAGAATCTGTTTGCGGGTTGGAGTCAGACTGGTTTTATTTCTAAAGTAGGAATTTATAAAATGCCACATTGACTGACTGTCTATAAATTGTGTGCTGTTTGAACAAAATAGAATGTAAATACAAATTCACCTCACAGATTTACGTGTTTGTGTAGAGGGGTGAGAGAGAATGTGTGTGTGTGTGGGGGGGTGGGTGAATGGGGGGGGGAAGAAAGAAAAATAGTGTGTGTGTGTGCATGTGCGCGCGTGCACACACGTGTGAGAGAGAGAGGGTGTGTGCTTGAGAGACTGTGTGTGTGTGTGTGTGTGTGTGTATTGTGTGGTGGGGTCACCTGTAGCGTGACATGAGCCCAAGATCCTGGTTAAGGCTGTCTTCATGGGTACCGAACTTGGCTATTAGCCTCTGCTTGGTGACTCTGCATTGTTGTGTATCCTGAAGTTCGCCTTGAAAGATGTTTACCCGAAGATCTGAGGCTGAATGTTCTTGATTGCTGAAGTGTTCTCCCACCGGGAGGGAACATCCCTGTTTGGCGATTGTGCTGGACACTGTGTAACAATGGCTACTGCACCCAGGAGACTTCCTAATATATTGTATTACATTGTGTTTACCTCTCTGAAACAGGTAATTCAGATCAACAGGTCCTTGTTGGTGCTACTACTCTGTATGGTCCTCTTCCGATTCTTGTTGTCTAACTGTATCAACATACCTTTTAATATTTATTCCTTAACCAACTTCAGTAAAGTTAGCTGCCATGATTCCTAAATTTTGATAGCGAATACACTTCAAAAATGTATAATTGATCATAAGTCACATTGGGATGTCTTATGATTATGAAATGCTCTATAAAATTGCAAACATTTCTCTCTATTTCCTTTCTGCCTTATTCTTTTTTCCCTTAAGTGTTTACTGAACTTTTTCTGGAAAGCATTGATACCAATCACCTTAATTACTACTTGTGGCAAGAACTTTCCTATTCTAGTCACTCTCTAGGAAAAGGGGTAGTAGGAACTGCAGATGCTGGAGAATCTGAGATAACAAGGTGTAGAGCTGGATGAACACAGCAGGCCAAGCAGCATCAGAGGAGCAGGAAGGCTGACGTTTTGGGCCTAGACCCTTCCTCAGAAAGTCTCTAGGAAAATACTTTTTTCCTGAATTCCCTATTGGCTTAATATGACACTAACTTTTTGTCTGGTTTCAATTCAGATAAGTTATAGAGAAAGGGATTGAATCAGTGGTTTGGGAATGGGGGTCAGGCTGGGACTGAAGACAATGGCTTTGTTCTCAATATTTGATAAGAGGGAACTTCAATTCATCTAGTACTGGATGTCAAGACAACCTGTGATAAATTAAAGACAGTGAAGGAGTTGAGAGATGTCGTATTGACACTCATTTCGGATGCTGTTTCCAGGGCAGTATATAAGTGAGAAGCAAGAGAAAGTCAAGGACCAATCGTTGAGAACTCAAGGGAATGTGCAGTTCTGGATAATGTATCTTGTAACAAAAGTAAAAGGCAGGAGCTTGTTTTCAAATTTCCTGCACACTTGCTAGAAGGAGACAGATGAGTCATAGAATGCCAACACTGCGGAAAGAGACCATTTGGCCCATTAAGTCTGCAATGACCCTCCAAAGAGCATCCCACCCAGACCCAATCCCAGCCGCCAACCTATTCCTGTAACTCTGCATTTCCCATGGCTAACCTGCTGAACCTCACATCCCTGGACACGATGGGCTAATTTAGCATGGCCAATCTACCTAATCTGCACATCTTTGGACAGATTAATGTATTATTTGTAGAACTCCCAATCACAACATTTCCATGTAGAACATAACTGAATTAGATTTTTAAGAGTGGAAAATCTTTGTTCCATCACTTCATAATACTTTGTACACTTAAATATGCTGTGTGTACTTCTAATACGTCTTGCATAGTGGAAATCATAATAAAATGTTTGGTTCCCTGATATGTACATCATCCTGAATCTTTTATTGCCAACAACTCTCCTGACTTTATCAGTGGTACCTTTTTTTTAAAATACACATTTTCAGAACATGTCATTTGTTTATTCCTTCTTTCTTTGAAACAGTGGTAGTGATCCTTTTACTTGAACTATTGCTTTCCATGTGATGAAGGTGGTTTGATACAATGGAGCTACATATCAGGCTACCTTAGAAGTTGTATAGAAGCCAATATATTGATGTGAGACTGAAGCCACATATCTAAATAAGGGTGACAGGTTTCCTTCCCTAAAGGATGATATGAGTGAACTAGTTGAGATTTTATAACAGTCTGAGAACTTCATGGTTAACTTTACAGATACTGTTTTTTTAGGTCAGATTTTTAAAGCTGCATTTACATTCTTAAACTGTTAGGGTGGGATTTGAACTGTCCTCTTGATTACGAGATTAATAACATAGCCATACTTTTGACTCAATCCAGAAGTTTGGACTAATAATATTTCTGCAGAATTACAACATGATCATTCAACCCAGCTCTTCTGGTTGAGCAGTAGTCTCGGATTCTGGTGACTTGAGTTCTGATCCAATGTGTCCACCCTGTTTGCGTATATTTGTATTTCCTGTTCCTTTGACTTTGTTTATTCACTTGTGGAATGGGGGCATCACTGGCTGGCCAGCATTTATTACCCCTCCCTAGTTGCCCTTTGAGAAGGTGGGTGTGAGCTGCCTTCTTGAACCGCTGCAGTCCACATGCTGTAGATTGACCCACAATGCTCTTAGGGAGGGAATTCCAGAATTTTGACACAGTGACAGTGAAGAAATGGTATATTTCCAAATCAGGATATGGCTTGGAGAGTAACTTGCAGCTGGTGATATTCCCACTTATCTGCTGCCTTTGTCCTTCTCGGTAGAAGTGGCCGTGGGTTTGGAAAGTGCTAAGGATCGTTGGTGAACTTCTGCAATGCATCTTGTAGATAATACACACTGCTGCTACTGAGCATCAGTGGTGGAGGGAGTGAACGCTTATGAATGAGATGCCAATCAAGCTAACAACTTTGTCCTGGATAGTGTCAACCTTCATAAGTGTTGTTGGAGCTGCAACAAGTGGGCAGTTTTCCATCACACTCCCGACTTGTGACTTGTAGATGGTGGGCAGGCTTTGGGGAGACAGATGGTGAGTTACTTGCCGCAGTATTCCTAGCCTCTGAGCTGCTCTTGTAGCCACTGTGTTATGTCGTGAGTCCAGTTGAGCTTCTGGTCCATGGTAACGCCAGGATGCTGATAGTGGGGGATTCAGTGATGGTAACACCATTGAATATCAAGGGGCATTGGTTAGATTGTCTCTTATTGGAGATGGTCATTGTCTGGCATTTGTGTTGTGTGAATGTTACTTGCTGCTCGTCAGCCCAAACCTGGATATTGTCCACACTTTGTTGCATTTGAACATGGACTGTTTCAGTATCTGAGGTATTGTGAATAGTGCAGGACATTGTACAATCATTGGTGAACATTCCCATTTCTGACCATATGATGGAGGGAAGGCCATTGATGAAGCACACATATTGTTAAATGTTGAACTGCTCTGCTTCACCATTTATCTTTTGTAGTGCAATCCACAGATTCATTATTGTCCATTAAAAAAAAATACCTTTTGTCCTAAGTCACTTATGTTTGCCTTTGCATCTGCATCCTTTTTGATATCTGGTCTTTTTTTAAGTAACAAACCCATAAATGGTAAATTGTGACCTCCTTGTGGGTCAGATCAAGATGGTCATTAACAGGGCCAGGGGAGTAGGCCGTGGAGGTGATAGACACCACAGATTGTCTCTTATTATGTCTGCACTTTGGTGTCTCTGGAGAGGGCACATGTAGTGTCAACTGGAACACCTGAGGCATTTCACAACCATTCGGTAAAAGAGACACTGCCACTCAGTGTTTCTATCCACAACCACATTTTAATTTAGTTTCTGTGAATTTAATTTGAACATTTGACTTTTGTGACTGCACCTCTTCAAGGTGACTTCAAGGTCGCCTTTTATTATGGTTAATTCCGTGCATTTGTATCAAATTTACATCAAGTCATCTGTGACCACTTTTGCTTTAACAAAACGAAGACCCTGTATTTTCAAGTGCTATTTGTTCTTGCAATTCACCGCACCAGGTGGCATCCTCGGACTCATGTATCTGCGCCGTCCTCTGTCTATTGCTTTATGCGTGGAGCCAGAGCCACATACAGGATTCCACCTGTGGGATTACTGAGGGTTTATATAGCTTTACCATGGCCTTTATGTTCAAAACATCTTGCCACAGCATCCAGCATTGCGACAATACTGTAAAAATATGTTTAAGGTTTCTCCTTTCACGTGGAAGCTCCGAAGATGCTGTTCTGCACGCACTACCCACGTCTACCCCTGCGCCTAAACTAAGGCTCAATGCAATTTCTTAATCATTTCCAGAACCACAAAACTGTGAAACTTCTGGCTTTTTAAAAGCTTTTTCTTCTGCTTTACACACGTTTTAAAAAATAAAGATTAGTTACTTGAATTTAATCAAAATGTCGGGATTTGACCTGTGCGTACACTCCGTGGCAATGTAATCACCTCGATCACAAAGATTGTCTCAAAGCTGATTAATAAAAAAAAATCTTGAAGTTTATCGCGGAAGGTAGACAAAGGAGATAACGCAGGGAGAAAGGGGGGCAGATGAATGGTCATGTTTAATACTGATACCATAATGTTGTATCATTCAACATCCGAAACAGCATTTGTTCCTTTTAGGGGGGTGGGGGCTGGGAGGGAGTTAAGCAATGCCCATCCCGACCCAGGAGCAGAGAGACGGCCCACTACCCACGGGAGGCGAGCTGGTGACCCTTGGGCTGGTGAGTAAAAGATCCGCCTGAGCCAGTTCAAGGAGAGACGACAACCCGCGCAGTGTGATTCGTATGAAAAGGAAACCCGAGCTCAGGAAACTCAAAAAAAACACACACACATACACGCTGGGACCATCTTGAGTGACACTGCAGGAAAAGAGAGACCTAGCTCATTCCTGAGCCTTGCCCTTGTGCATGGAAGACCTGATGTGAACAGAAACTGCTGAAGCTGACTCTGAAAACTAAGAGGGAAGGAGACAGGTCTTTGAAGCTCTAACTGGGAACAAAGCTGGGTTAATAAAGTCAAAACCATGAGCCAATTTTGGAACCAATTGCAGGCTGGCAGTTCAGAAGTGGACTGGTGTGAGGGAAATTACATGATTGTCTCAAACATTGCTGAATTTTACAACACGGTTTGTAACAATTTTTAGTCTTTTCTTTTAAAAACAGGGTTCGTTATTTTTTGCATTGAAGCGAAATATACTTCTTTTAAAAAAAAAATTCTAGGACAGTAGAAATTTCTTGCCGATCGAGCAGAAATCGCTGTAAACTTTTCTGGGAGAGATTAGCGGTTGGAGCAGGAAATTAGCTGGAGTGGAACCTCCTGTTGTTTCGGACCGTAAGGCAGTTAGTGCCACACGTTGTACTACTTGAGACTGCCCCAGGCCAATGTGTAACAAGGCAAAGCAATAAACTGCTTTGCCCTGGGCATTGCCCACAGTCGCTGCCGTTTTGTTGCAAGTGCTTTTAAAATCTACGTTGCATTTTTTACAGAATTACTCTCGGCGTGCCCCCTACAGCCCAGAGTAAGTATTGGTGTTGCTTTGGGAAAGTGCGTGCGGATGTGTTTTGTGAAGATACCCAGCAACAGCCCAACTCTTTACATCTGTCTCTGCGTCTAACAACAATACTCCTAGTCATTGTTTTAATTTTCCTACACTAATACTGTCTCCGATACTTTTTTCCCCATCTCTTTTGCAAAGCAACAATCTGCTTCAATTTGAATGAAATTCAGTGTTAAAGGCAGGAATATTATAGACATTTCCGTGCAGCATTGATGCCCTTTCATTTTGATTCTGGGCATTATTTCCAGGCTGTGTTTTCACTAAGAGGCATTTCCCATCCACGCCCTGAATTACTGTGCGAGAGTTGAACCTGTTTAGTCGAAAGGGATACAATCTGAAAGGTTGCTGGCGACTCAAAAGTAGAAGATTGAATAAATGTTGGAAAGATATTATTAAGCTAGAGAGGGTTCAGAAGAGATTTGCCAGGGTGTTGGAAGGTTTGAGTTATGAAGAAAGGTTGGATAGGCTGGGACTTCTCTCACTGCAGTATAGCAGGTTGAGAGGTGACATTATAAAGATTTGTAAAATGATGAGGAGTGTAGACAGGGTTAATGATAGGTGTATTTTTCCTAGGATGGGGGAATTTCAAGACTAGGGACCACACTTTTAAGCTGAGAGGAGAGAGATTTAAAAAAAACATGAGGGGCAAACGTTTTACACAGAGGGTAGTTTATGTATGGAATGAACTTCCTGAGGAAGTGGTGGATGCGGGCACAGTTATAACATTTAAAAGACTGGATACATACATGAATAGGAAAGGTTTGGAGGTATATGGGCCAGGAGCAGGTGGGAGGGACTAGTTTAGTTAGGGATTATGTTTGGCATGGACTGGTTGGACTGAAGGATCTGTTTCTATGCTGTATGACTGTATGACTTTTAAAGATTTCTAGGAGACATAGATGGGTGAGCAGACAGATGAAATATGGACCAGGGAGGAAAATGTGTTTTTGGATGAGGCAGAAACATGAAATGGGAGTAAACTGTTAATGTAAAGGGAGAGCTGGGTCGGATTTTAATTTCCTTAATGTGCAGGTGCATTGATACTATAAAAAAGGCTATTAAAATTTGAAGCTGTAAGAATAGGGACATAGTGGATAGGAATAAAGAGGTAACACCGGATTTATGCAAATCATTGGTTAGGTGACAGAGTTTGCAACCTTAAAAAATACATAATGAGGAATTAGGAGAGGCAGGATCAAATAACACATGACAGGTTTCCACTGCTGTAACGGCAAAACTGCTTTTTGAGTGCAGATGAATTGAACTGCACATGGATCCTCTGTACACAAACTCCATCGGAAGGATGTTGTTAAACTTGAGGGGTTGCAGAAAAGATTTACAAGGATGTTGCTGGGACTGGAGGGTTTGAACTATGGGGAGAGGCTGAATAGACTGGGACTTTTCCCTGGAGCGTCAGAGACATTATAGAGGTTTATAAAATCAAGAGGGGCATAAATAGGACGAATAGCCAAGGTCTTTTTCCTAGGGTGGGGGAGTCCAAAACTAGGGGGCATAGGTTTAAGGTGAGTAGGGAAAGATTTAAAAGAACCTAAGGGGCAACTTTTCCATGCAGAGGGTAGTGCAAGTATGGAACATGCTGCCAGAGGAGCTGGTGGAGGCTGGTAGAATTTGTAGATTAGGTCGGTTATAGGGGTGGGATGCTCTGTGGGTCGGTGTTGGGCTGAAGGGCCTGTTTCCACACTGTAGGGGTTCTATGATTCTATGACATTTAAAAGGCATCTGGATGGGTATATGAATAGCAAGTGTTTAGAGGAATTTGGGCCTAATGCTGGAAAATGGGTCTAGGTCAGATTGGGATGTCTTGTTGGAACAGGCGAGTGGACTGAAGGGCCTGTTTCCATGCTGGATGACTGTATGCTTCTTTGACTCTATATGCTGCTGTCCATAGGTTCACCAGTGGTGAGAAAGATGTGCCTGGCCACCTTGCTTCAGAATTCTCCTTTAAGTTGGACTGTGCTATACCATTTGCCTTTTGTCGAAAAGTTTATGCAAGAAAATTCTTTCAACCAGAAGTCTTTAATTTTGGCACATTACTCCCTCAAGGGGAAAAGGAGATAGGGGTCCAAGTTGAATAGTTCCCTGAGCAAACTGTCAAAGACATTTCACAGAATGCCTTATCTCCAAACTTTTCAAACAAGCACCAAGGTAAAGCTAGGCTAGTGGTGAGAAGGGTCCTGTCATGAGATCCTCCATGAGCATACTGGAGTGTAAGTATCCTTGGGGCATCTGCAGTGAGAAAGAGATCGTTGGTCATCACATTTTGGGATGTGCCTTTTTTTGTCAAGGTTTATCCTGAACAGCTCTGTAATGCAGGACTCTGTGCTGTGTGTGCTGATCCCAGGGGTGCACACTAAGATAAACACCACTTGTTGTTGCAGTCCCACCAACTCAGTGTAAGATGCTCTTTGGTTTGTATGCAATGTTTCCAGTGCAAAAAGCTGTCCATTATAGACTATTGTGGAAGACCACATTTCAAGGTTTGGGAGGACATGCAAAGTACACAATAGAGCTTGAGACAGCCACTGCAGTCTCAAGTGGAAAAGGCCATAGCCTAAAGCTCTCTAGCCACAGCATACTGAGGGACCATAAAGTGTATAAAACCCCTTGGACTATAACCACCAGAGAATGTTTGACATAAAGTATATGTGTAAATTGTCAATATGATTTGTAATTGTAGGTTTGATGAGATTGCTTGGAATGCTGTGTAATGTACTGAAAGAAAGTGAACATAATTGCTCTCTATGTAATATCAGATTTGAACTGTTGTGCAATGTACTTTTACATATTTTATGAATAAAATGTATATTTGACAAAGAAGTTGAAGGTGACAGACTATTTTTCTAAGGCCCTGTTATCAAATGCATTAGCTTTATACTGTGGGTGTTGCATTAGGATTAAGCCTTGTTCAGGCACGTTTCATTTACTTTGACAATGGCAGGTGAACAAAGAATTTAGAACCAAGACATGGAAGTTCTTCATGCAGTGCTTGTTTTGCTTGAGGAGTGGTCTTTCAGGTTGTGAAATGCAGGCAGAAACCTTGAACTGCATATAACGCAGGTAGATGATGTAATAAAAGGACTTCTTGGTTTTAATATCTGGATAAGTTATACGAGGTCAAATAGTACCAATTGTTATGTGAATTTGTTTGTTCGTCATTATATATACAACTATGTTGCTGAAATACATATTTTTAATGGGAACTCAGATTTTCTTCTTTAGTACAATTTCTTAATGATATCATGTTCTCCATGGCAATCTTTGATAGAACTGTCTCATTGCTGCTTTCTGTTTCAAGACCAATTGTTTTATTGTAATGTCAACCATTTTGAGATAATCATATTTGTATTATTTACATACCATGCATATTTTAACTTTTATTTTGCAGATCAGCAATATTTTATTTTTTGTGTTGCCACCCATATGCATGTACTTATTTCGACAATATGCAACATGTTTCAACAGTGGGATATATCTAATTTGGACTTTGCTTGTTGTTGTAGGTAAGTGGTATTGTTTCAGTTGCATTTTTCTTAAAACAATTTTGTTTTAGAAAGGCTTGTAGCTGGTTATTTCATGAGGTAATGAATGTGAACTTGTAACTAGTTTCTGTATTGTTAACGATTAAATATTTTATATGGAAGAAAATTAATATGATCAAATGACATTTCTATTAGCATTCTATTAAATAGTTAAAACAATCATGGTTATTCAATTTGCGCTTAGTTATTAAAGTTATGCTGATATATCTATATATTAAGACTTATTTAACAGTTTCATTATTTTATTCTTTCCATGCATTTTACTCTTGATTCCCAGTAGATTTACTTATGAATGCTCTGTGACACCAGTTTTTTAATAAATGATTCCATGCATCCCTCCCTCCATCCACTGCTCCATCCATCCATCCATCCATCCATCCATCCATCCATCCCTCCCTCCCTCCCTGCCTCCCCCCCACTTCATCCTTCCCTCCCTCTCTCCCTCACTCTCTATCTATCTTCTAATCTAATCCATTGGAAGTGCATAAAATGCATACTTACGCATTTCTATAAGTAATAGGACTACCTTTGTCATTGCTGCAGAGAGCCCATCTAGTGCGCATCTGAACCATGAAGACCCTGAAAGTGCTGGGTTTGATCTTGTGCCTATGTTGTTTTCAATCCAGACTTCGGCCAGTGTTTACCAATTATCCACAGTGCCTACGGACTGGGGAAAGGAAAATTGCCAAGTCTTCTTGCTCTTAGTCTCTATGCAATCGATCCTCATGGAAGTATGCATGTGATCAGCAGCAATATGCATGCTTACTTTTCTGTGCAATAAAAAATCCAATAGCATTCTTATAGGAGCAAGGGGAGTACTAAACAAGTATTACAAAGAAATTATATAAAGAGTCCAAAGGTGCCGAAAGGGGTAGATTCCGAGAAGGCATATCTCAAAATTCTTTTTTATATGATTTGAACTTCCATCGTCAGTCATTCTTTTTGTGACTGACTGCAGATGTATAGAAAGTAGAACTTACCAGATCGGAAGTATGATTGGAACCAAAATTTAAAAAAAACTGCAAATCCACATTTTATTCAAATGCCAGAGGTAATTTTGCATCTAATGTGTAACAAGTATGGACAGACAGCCTTCAGTGTCATGAGGACAGGATGCGCATGCATCACAGCAACTAATTTTCAACAAGGCAATCATAGGAATTTTGCTAGTTGGAAGGTTTGTAAAGTCTTTTTGTATCCTCTACATTTAAAACCAGTTTACAACACTTAAACAGAGAGAGCTTTCTTGCTGATTCATATTTGCTCCGTCTGTATCATTTAGTTCAACCTAAATAGGTTTGAACTAGCATTTCAGATCCTGTTTACTTCCCAATAATATTTTCTCGTAGAAATCAAATACATCTGTATTTCTAACTGTTGCAATTTGATTTGTGCTGTGTAAAAACAGTGTGATTGTTGATTTGTAGCAGAGTCAGTAACACAAAAAAGCCTGAGTAACATCTGCTTCTCTTTGCATCAGTGCAGCAATTGATTGTCTGATATGGTAATGTTGCATTCATATTGGTGACAAAAGCAGTCATACGAATTCTAGCGATAGTAGGAACTGCAGATGCTGGAGAATCTGAGATAACAAGGTGTAGAGTGGATGAACACAGCAGGCCAAGCAGCATCAGAGGAGCAGGAAGGCTGACATTTCGGGCCTAGACCCTTCTTCAGAAATGGG